AGCCAATTACAAATGTGATTTAATAATCTCCCCATTTGACAATTTTGTGACAAAATACGTACGTTAAAAATTAAGATTACAACCCCAAATCATTAAATAAAAAGAATTATAAATCTAATCTCAACACTCATATACACATCCTAAATCTCTATCTAGTAAAAAAATCTACTTCTTTGGATGAAGCTTGAAGATCGTAGTGTTGCACATCACCACTCAAACTAAAACCTCGTGAAAACATCATATGTTAGAGAAATATATAACATAATCAAAAGTTTGGAAAGCCCTAAGATAAACATAGGGCATAAGTATGTATACATCATGCAACTGCAAATATATAACATGTTAGAAACTAACTTGCCCAATATGCTTGAGAACCTATTGATCTATAAATATGAAACACATCAAGTTCTCCTCCTTAGTTTGTGTTCACAAGTAAAATAACAAGTGAAAAAAAAAACAAATTAAAATAGGTGACTTCATGCCAAATTTACAAATTTACTACCCCTGAGAATTTGAACTAGCCTAGTCAAGAGTAAATCTTCCTGATTCCTATCATAAATACCTAAAATATTCTCCTCATTTTTGTCACAAATGTCAATCCAATGACAACATGCAACAAGCATAGTATAGAATCAAGTTACCCAACATATTCTGATATTATTTTCAATAAATGTCAATCCAATGATGATTTATAAAAATCATGACATAGAATCATAGTATAATAAGAAGGAATGGATGCAAATCAACTAGCCAAATCCTGCAAGTAAAATAAGCAAGGGACAAATGAGACGTAAAACTCAAAGTCAAATATGATAAACAATCAAGAGTAGGACCAAGAGTTAGTCACAACAAACAAAAGAATAACTAAACAAATAAAAGACAACAAAATATAAAGTTCAACAATGAAAAAAAAAAANAACTCATAAATGGTTTAGAAATTCTTTTCTTTTAAAATCATCCAGGAGTCATAGTTAGATTGCTTCTAATTCCATTTTCATTATAATCAACCTAAGTTAAAAATAATTTAGCGTTCATCTAAAGTGTCTAGGTCATTACCTTGTCCTAGGCATGAAGGTGCATACAGAGGTTAAATGATATTTCTTTTATGCTTGATATTTTCCCTTCAATGACGTTTTCAGATTTTGAACTTGATAGCATCATGACCATGAAAAATGTTGAGATTTACAGTGGACTCCATGAAATTAGCCAATTACAAATGTGATTTAATAATCTCCCCATTTGACAATTTTGTGACAAAATACGTACGTTAAAAATTAAGATTACAACCCCAAATCATTAAATAAAAAGAATTATAAATCTAATCTCAACACTCATATACACATCCTAAATCTCTATCTAGTAAAAAAATCTACTTCTTTGGATGAAGCTTGAAGATCGTAGTGTTGCACATCACCACTCAAACTAAAACCTCGTGAAAACATCATATGTTAGAGAAATATATAACATAATCAAAAGTTTGGAAAGCCCTAAGATAAACATAGGGCATAAGTATGTATACATCATGCAACTGCAAATATATAACATGTTAGAAACTAACTTGCCCAATATGCTTGAGAACCTATTGATCTATAAATATGAAACACATCAAGTTCTCCTCCTTAGTTTGTGTTCACAAGTAAAATAACAAGTGAAAAAAAAAACAAATTAAAATAGGTGACTTCATGCCAAATTTACAAATTTACTACCCCTGAGAATTTGAACTAGCCTAGTCAAGAGTAAATCTTCCTGATTCCTATCATAAATACCTAAAATATTCTCCTCATTTTTGTCACAAATGTCAATCCAATGACAACATGCAACAAGCATAGTATAGAATCAAGTTACCCAACATATTCTGATATTATTTTCAATAAATGTCAATCCAATGATGATTTATAAAAATCATGACATAGAATCATAGTATAATAAGAAGGAATGGATGCAAATCAACTAGCCAAATCCTGCAAGTAAAATAAGCAAGGGACAAATGAGACGTAAAACTCAAAGTCAAATATGATAAACAATCAAGAGTAGGACCAAGAGTTAGTCACAACAAACAAAAGAATAACTAAACAAATAAAAGACAACAAAATATAAAGTTCAACAATGAAAAAAAAAAAAGAGTACTTTATTATAGACCATGAATGAATAAAAATACTCTCAAGCTCACATATGACCTATACTACAACTATCTAATAAAAACATCTCAAATAGCTGCATCTACACAATGTCCATTGTGTGTCTCGAGTTCATCATTTGAAATAAAACCAAAATTTTGCATTATATGCCTGAGACGCTGAACATCCCTGTTAATCTCCTGCTGATCCATCCCTAGGCTCATCATACCCTCATCTAGAGCATCCATACGAAGAGCAGTAAGACTATCCTGCTAATCTATACTACTTTGTAGATTACTTAATGTTGTGTGAATGGCGGTCCACTAATCCAATGCAACTGTTGGAGGTGTCCTAGGGAGCATGGTATGTGAGGTATGATCTCGTGCTTGCCTAAGATTGTGGTGCATGACTCAATGTACCAAGCACTATAATAGTAGTAAGATCATGTAGCTCAACCTAAATCTCGTCACCCTATGCCTCAACCTCCATAGGGTACCTATGTCAAGCATGTGTCTCATTACGTCTCAAAGACTCATTCTCTAGAGGTCTCTTTGGTCTCAATAACTGATCAAACTCTAATGTACTAGCACCCTTGTCTAGAAAATACGGGTGATCAAAGAACCACATGGCAAAGTGTCAATAATCCTCCCCTTATCGAAAGCTCTCTAAATGACTCAAAAAATCACACGTGGAAAATCTATCTCCAAGTCTACACCAATAGCATGTAACAAATAGGCTCGTGGTGTGGAAAAAGTGAAAATATGAGTATTCGGGTCAATGTTGTAGCTGACAATCAAATTTATAAACATACAATCCCTAGTCAAGTCCATGTGGTACGACAACAGGTGTTTTATCCATCAGGATAAGGGACTCCATACAACATTGAGGCAACTGAAGATAGTGTGGCTATAACACTCTTAGGTCTAAAGTGATAAGGATCACATTCTACCCAAGGATGATATAGGGTGGTGGCAATAAGATCAGTGGAAAACTCAAATAATACACCTCAGATGTATGTCGTTAAGTGCTCAATATCCTCTATAGTTGCACAAAAGTGTGTGTAAAACTTTCTAACCATATCCACATTTGCAGGCATAGGGCCACAAATAGCTCAGTAGATCCTCTTAAGTCAAAAATCGAAGAGATAGAGGTGTTACTTACCCCAATGTGATTCACTTCTCGCTCTATTAACATAGTCCATGAAGAAAACTATCTCCTATCTAGCTCTTGGTATTATAGAGTCTGGAAATGAGCTCTACTACTCGAAGCCTATACCCTCGCCCTTTTTTCAACTTTTGGCGGCATTTTTTTTTTCCAAAATGGACGATAGAATAATGTAATTCAAGATGATAAAAAGATATGCTAGGTTTAAATGCACTAAATCTCACTCTAGATCAAGTTTAATCTCAAGGAAATGCAATGGTAGTCTTGAAATTGAGTGAGTCTGCGTTTAGAGCGACTCCCGGAGTACACCACTTGAGTGAGGTATGAGGCCACTCGAGTGAGCCATGAAGTAGATGACCCCTTGGTCCAGTTTGTCCAACTCACTTCCTCTTGACTCCAATGAGTCCTAGCAAGCAAGCATCATGTCATGTATATGCATTCTAAAAGCAATTCAATGCAATGCATGGATGAATTTGAATCAAAATTAATGCAATTTTCAAATTAAACAATTAATGCTTAATGTTCAAAATCATGAAAATTACATAAGTTAGCATTATAAAAGTTTCATCCAAAATTCATCAACTCAAAGCATTAATCTAAGGCATATTCAAAGATATTGAACTCAAATTTATGCATCCTAGATCAATATTTCCTCACTTAGTTCAATTTCACTCTTACGTGTTCAAATTTTGTTCAACTTGGACTAATCAAGTGCATCGTTTGTGAAATCAACCTCCAACACAAAAAGTATTCTAATTAGTTTAAATTATTAATAAGCTGATTAAGCTCATCATGAAATCCTAATTCATTGTCTAAGTGAATACATGATTGGTTAGTGAGTGTCCTAAATATCATCTTTTTGACAACTTTTCATCTCTTTTGTCCTAAATTTCTCCACTTGGACTAAAACATCCTCCATTATTCTCCATGTCATCTTTACACTTCTGTCGGCAAAGTTGGAGTGTGATAGATGTCAACTTCAATTCTCCTAACCCGAGCTGCACATGTACGGAATTGAGAAGGAGAACACTTGCACCTAAATCTAGCAGTGCTTTCTCTACCTGGTAGTCCCCAATGATGATTGAGATGTTGAGAGTTGGGATCTTGTATTTGGGTGGAGTGTTCGTCCTTAAGATAGAGCTTACATGCTCTGTGAGAAAAGCTCTCTTTTGCATATTAGTCTTCCTCTTTACTGTGTATAATTCTGTAAAGAACTTGGCATACGATGGTACATGTTTAATTGCACCCAAAAGAAGAATGTTAATTTTCACCTACATAAAAATCTTAAGAATTTCAGATGTATTAGATAACTTAGCAGGCATTTGTAGTCCATGAGAGTAAGGAGCAAGGATAGGACAACTATTTTCAGCAATGTCATGTAGCTTAGTCTCTTCTAAATCATCTGAGGTATCTTTTTTTTTAGGCTTAAAGAGACACCTTTGGTGGGATACTCTTATCTACTTATTTACCACTCCTAAGAGTAGTAATGAACTTCAGCTATTCAACATTCTCAGTGATCTTAATCATTATTGACCTTTGGGGTTCTCTTAAGGTTGATCAGGGAATTTCCCTTTCTCCTATTGTATGGTCCCTAATGTCGTGTTGATCTTTGTGATTTGTGACCTAATTTCATTCAAAGCCTGAGCAGTCTGATTGTCGATGTTATTAGGTCTGAACGTATTGCAGTAACAATTCATCTATGCTCTTTTTGTGGGGTAGTTGGTAAGGAGGTACTGCGGGTTAACCTTGATGGCCAAACCCTTGAGCATGTGGTTGTGGTGGAGGTGTTGGGTTCTGAACAAACCTGTGTTGTGGAGGTCCTTGCCGAGGGACCTGTTCAACATTCGAAAGACCGGCATAATTTGGTGATGGCTAATGTGTGGCAGAAGGGTATTGTTGAGGTTGGACAGTGTGTCGGATCTCCAACTAAAGTTGGGATATTAAAGTCTGAAGAAAATGACTGCTTTGGCTGATTAAATGCATTAACCTATTCCTTCATTTTCCTACACATAAGAAGAGTTGGGCACTCATTCATAGGGTGCTCAATGGACTCATAAATCGAACAAGGGTCATCAGGCTTGGGCACATTGGTCACCTCATTGACCTTTTGAAACTCCAAATTCTCCACCTTCCTTGAAACTTTAGCAATCATGGCTAGAAGATCATCTTGATTTCTCAACAAATATTTTCCTCCACCGGATGATTAAGGGGCTGCTGATGACGTTGATTGCTCAACAATGTCTAAGATGTCCTAAGACTGGGCAGTCTCCACCAAACAATCAAAATAATCAAGGGTCTCCTCAAGCTCTTTTTGTTGAAACTCTCCATTACACATCATGCTGATGAACTGACAATGTGTAGGGGTAATTCCCCCATAGAAGTAAGTTACCATCTACCACGGTTCAAAGCCATGATGTGGAATAGAGTTTAAGAGCCCTTTAAATCTTTCCCAACATTCATAAATCTGCTCATTTAGTTCTCAACAAAATTTTGAATCTGTTTTTTCAAAGTAGTAGTTTTATGAACGAGGACAAATTTAGTCAAATTCTTTTTTCATTTGATCCCATGTAGAGATGTCCGTGGCTTAAGGGAATTTAGCCAAGCCTTTGCTTTATCTTTAAGTGAGAAAGGAAAAAGTTTCATTCTAGCCATTTCTTCCTGCACATTCTATTCCAGGAATATACTAACTACTTCCTCAAATTCTTTGAGATGGAGAAAGCAATTTTCACGTGTCATTCCATGGAATTGAGTGAGCAATTGGAACATCCATAGTTTAACAATGAATTGGTGTGCTTGCACCAGAAGTACAATGCAAGATGGCGAGAAAGAGTGGGTCAGTTGAAGATAATCCTTCATAGTCCGACCAGGCGAAAATATAACCAGATTATTCTCACCATTACCCCTACTGGTATAATAATTGGTGGATCAATGTCATTATTGTTATTATGGGTAGCTATACCTACAACTTGTGGTAAATCCTGTGTAAGTCTAACAAGTCGGTATGCTTGGTTTTTACCCCACATGCAAATCTACTAGACCTAAGAATCAAAATTGCAAGAAAGTAAGAAATAAATTACAACAGAGATACAAACCTGAGATCGTGATGAAAATCACAAGACCTACCTGAATACCTCTGTATCGCCTTATATTACCGTTAGCTTTCCCGACAATGACGCCAAAAATACTTGCCCTCCAAAGGGATTGTATTTTCACGAAAGCTCCCAAGAGTAAGAGAAAAATATCGTGCTTGAATAAAAATTCCAAGGTCATCTCCTCAAGGAAAGAATTGGAATCCAAGATGACGAAAAATAAAAAGAAAAAGCTCTTTAAAGTTGAGAATTTTGAGAGGTAACTACTAATGAAATTGAAATTCAATAAATGAAAAACTAGATAATCTTTTGAATTCGTTCCACCTATGAATTATAGTTTCTAACCTAAATCTATAAATCATCTGCTTTCATATTCAAACTACTGTAGATAGATGATTTTTAACTAAAAACTTTGAAAGAACTAATGTAGTAATTGAAAGACGATTTATAATGGAAGAATCAATATCCTTAAAGTCATAGAAAAGACCACTAATTATCTATACTAAAACTAATTGTATACAGATAATCGAGAAGTATGCAAACCAATTAGGTTTTTGAAAACATAACCTATTGAATCAATCATATAAACGTTCAAACCCTAGTTTAAAGCATATGCCCTACTTCATAGGTTGGGACTCTTTCCTCAGATTATCCAAAGGAAGACTACTCACTCATGATAATGTAAATAACACAAAGCATTAAAAAACATATTTGAATTCAGAAAGGTAAAGATTGAATTGAAACCGATTGCTTGTATTGAAAAACTGAATGTAAATAATAAGGCTTCAATCGTAAAGACAACTGAATGTAAATATTATTTGAGCAAATAAAAGAACTAAATTTAAAAGAAGAATAATGCAAAACTTTGTAAAATAACCCTAAAATTCTCTAATGTAAAGAACAGAAAAAAAACACCAGAACATCTTCTACAACACCCTCCCTGTATTCCCCAAAAGGGTCTCTATTTATTTTGTTTGGAAAGAGAATTTTCAGATCTTTGACATATATTCATCCCAAAATTATCTCATTCTTTGATTGGTTGAGAATCCCCAAAAGATATGGGGAGATCTAATTTTTAATTGAGCTTCCTATAAAAATCTGCCTCAACCTACCGATAGAACGTCTATCTAATAAAACTTCATAAAGTACTATAACTTTTGCTATCTATAGAACATTCGGTAGAACTTCTTTGACAAAAGTACCGTAAGTTTTTCTATCAGTAGAACATGTTTCACTACTGGTAGTACTTCTATGATGAAAAAGTACAAAGTACTGTAAGTTTTGCTACCGGTAGAAATGTCTTACTACCGGTACAACCTTCCTTTTTCTGCCTTCCTACCAATAAAACTTATTTTTTATTCCAAAAATACTTTTAAGGCTCCCAGCTTCATCTTCTCCCAAGTAATCCCAACTTGTCCCTTGCCATCTTATTAATGCTTAAACTCAACTTTCACACCCAATTTACCTGCAATCATAGAAATCAAGGCTTAACACACAAACTATACTAATTAAAATGAATTAGTACATTAGAAAACCTAAAATGAATATGTTAAGTTATAAAATAACGTAATGTCGAAGTCTCAACATAGAACATTGAATATCTACTGGTAGAATTTTGTCTGACAAAATTTCTAAAACTTCTGTAGTTTTTTCCTACCGGTAGACCATCCTTCACCTATTAGTAGGACTTCACTGACAAAGTACTAAGACATTTCCTACCGGTAAAAAATGTACCACCTACTAGTAGGATTTCTCTTTTCTTCAAAATGACTTGCAAGGCTTCCGGCTAAGCAAACTCAATCCCAACTTATCCCTTGTCAGCCTATCAATTCTTAATCTCCACCTTTACACCTAAACTACCTGCACATACAAAAATCAAAACATAAAATGCAATATGCACTAAGTGAAACAAGTTAGTTTGTTAACAAGCCTAAAGCGAATATGTTAAGCAATAAAATAATGCAATATTGAGCACTCAACATCAACCTTTGACACACTATTTACCTCATTTAGTTTTTCACTTCCAAGATTTTTAATTTGCAGGATAATTTTGCTATCTTGGCATGCAATTCATCTTGATTAAGCAAAATACATTTTCCTCCCTTGTTCGGTTGAAATGATGTAGATGGCTTTGATCTCTCGGCAAGGTTAGAAATATAACAAGATTGGGCGTTTTTTGCCAAGTTATCAAAGTAATCCAAGGTTTCTTCTGTATCTTTATTCAAAAATTCACTATTACATATCATGTCAATGAATTGACGATGTGCAAGGGTAGTTCCTTTGTAGAAAACTAACTAGTTGTCAAGGTTTGAATTCATGATGTGAAACGGAGTTTAAAAGGTCCTTGAATCTTTCTTAGCACTCATAGAACTGTTCATTCTCCTTTTCTGAAAAATTTTGAATTTATTTTTTCAAAGCAATAAGTCTTTTGACTGGAAAAAAATTATTTAAAAATTCATTTTGCATATCTGACCATGATCCAATTGACCGAGGTTTCAAAGAGTTTAGCTAAGATTTCGCTTTATCCTTCAATGAAAATGGAAATAGCTTCATTCTAGCAATTTTTCTCACACACATTGAGATCTAATAATGTTTCAACTACTTCCTCAAATTCCTTAATGTGCAGATAAGGGTTTTTTTCTATCCATTCCAGGAAATTGGGGCAATAATTGGAGCATTCCCAATTTAACAACAAATGCATGTGCTTGAACAAGTAAAAAAATGTAAGATGGTGCAACATTTCTTACTAGTTGGAAATAATCTCTCATTGTTCTCACAAGGGGAACAATTTGGAGATTATTTTCATCTCATCTTGGATTTTTTCCAGCTCCCTAATTTTGTCGCTCATTTATATTTATGTCATCCATGTTTATGTGTGGTCCTAGGTCTCATCTAACAACTCTATTTGTGTTATCACGTCCCCACATACAACAAATAAAAACCTACAAATGCAAATCTATTGTAACTAAAAATAAATGTATATATATACAACGGAAGAACGTACATGTGCTTGCTATGAAAATCACAATACTCACATATTGTCAATCCTAATCATCTTCCAAATGAACCATTATCCCCAACAACAACGTCAAAAATGTTTGCCTCTTTCAAAGATGTTTCTTTTCAAAAATGATTTGTCTTCCAGAATGACTTAATTGTGTATCCTAAATTATGCTCGCACCTCTTAAATGTATGTAACATGTTTTCCAACTGTAGGAAGTGTGTGTAGTGTATTAACTTAAAATTTCTGAGGTCGTCTCCTTAGGGACAAATGGCAATTCGAATGGTCATGCATTTGCAAAATAAAATAAAAATCCTTTGGTTTTGTGGAAAATGGAGAGAGTAGCAACTAATGTAGTAAATTCAAATTGGAAAACAATCGGTCAATCATCGGGAATCATCTCATCTTAATCATACTTATTAATTCTCATTTATAACTCTTCCAAACTCATACTCAAATTCACTCAAATGGAGAATATTCAACTAAAATTAGTTTTGAACTATGTGTTGCTTTGAAGGTAGATAATGAAAGGAAGAAAGATAAATTCTTAGTTGTATATATGAACTCTAAGCATTACTAGTGTCTGCGGACTGAAGGAAAAAAAAAAGCATTACTAGTGTCAAAAGAACCGTCCATGAGAAATCAAAGTGTAGACATAAACAAAAGTTTTCCAAAATAATTTTTACCACCTACAAAACATACTACATGGTTAGAACACATTATAGAATCAATAATACTTAATTACAAATGAGAATCTTCCCTCGGATTGTGTCGAAACTTAGTGGGAAGCAAAACCCATCAAACTGAAATCGGCAATAAACAA